GGGTCTTCTTAAAGCATAAAAAAAGAGGCCCCCAGCCTGCAGTGCCTTTTGTGTTTGTGTGTGTGTGTCCTTCCTCTCCATTCATTTGTTAATTTCTTTGATAAACATTATTTGAGCACCCACGGTGTTCTTACCCTTTGCCCCAAGGCTTGCTCTTCTCACTTCTCATTACTAACCAAAAAAGCTTCTTTAAAGTCTCTTCTCTCGCCTTTCTACATAATCAAACATTTAAAATGCACAAAATAAGAGTTAAAAGCTTTCGATTGAGGGCTTAAGTTGTTAAAGTAGAAGGATGGAGGCTTGCTGGAAGGGGAAGCATGTATGGATTTCAACAGAGGCAGGCTGCAACATGTGGTTACTAAAGGGCTTTCTTATTTTCTTTGCCTTTTTATCCTGAGTGTGCGTTGGAGATGTGAGAAGATGGGATTGCTGGCTAGAGAAGATCTATGTAACTCTAGCTTGGTCCTTAGTGGTGTGAAGGACTCTAAATACTTCCAGGTTAGTCCCTGAGAAAACTGCTGTATTTACAGGACGAACATACAGCAAATTAGAAAATTCATCTCTGTTTTCTAATAAGTATACTAATGATATCCTAGTGCCTTGAAACTGGTTTATCCTCTGAATGTGGAGTACCTTGAATACATATGAACTCCCTGTTCAAAGAGCACAATAGGGTATAAGTCTGAAGAGCATCATAGAAAGCTCTTTAATTTCTTTCTCCAGCCCAAATGATTTTCTGTAAAAATCTTTAAAACTATCAAGTTCCCTACCCCACAATTATCACCGGATTTTAATTTTACTTCCTTTTTTCCCTTTCTCTTTCTGTTTTCTTCCTATAATGCAGACAGGGTGGGGGGAGGACAGTAAAATGCCCAGGCTCTTTAATTTTGGGATTACGTAGGAGAGAGAAGTAATTGAAATTACAAATATATAAAATTAAGCTAAGTCCTTAAAACTCTTAAGTGTCACCATGGAGACCAGAGCGTGAACTGTTTCATGGAAACTCGAACGAATTTTCTGGCTCATCAGTTATTAACAGATGTCAATTTGGCCAAGGTAGAAGAGATGAGAATAAATAAATAAATAAATAAGAACTAGCCTTACACCAGAGAATTTATTAAGGGCAAATGTAGTTGTTCTGGTTCTTAGTATTCCATTATTCCAGTGAGTGGGAAAATATCCCAAGAGAAAATTTCCCCTTGACTCATAATTTCCGATGGAAACATCTGATGATATAGCTCCATAAATGCTGTAGGAATGAATAGAGAAAGACAATTTCTAGAAAAGGCCTTTCTCACTCAGAAGCATCAAGGTGTGATGCAGGTAATATGGCTCTCTATCCACCACTCCAGCTACAAGGAAGACAAGGTTCCTAGGCAACCTCTTATCCAATAATGGACCAGAAATATCTCTTAACAACCATTCTGGGTATTTCACTTTATCATGTCTATTATACACAACTGTTTTTAATATGTATAGTGAAGTCAAACAGACTGGTATTACATTCCACATAAAGAGTAACACAGGAATCATCCAAATGTTTACTGTATAAGCAGAGGTACCTCAGAATTTCTCCCAGTTAAATTCTATTTTGCAAACCTATAGGCACAGTCCCTTTGCTGATCAAATACTCAGTTGGGAGGCCATCCAAACGGTGTATTTTAGATAGTAGGCATTCATCGATTAAATAACCACTAATAAAAGGTTAAAATTCAATAAATTTTAATATATAATAAAATAAGTCAATAGAAAGCAAACAATTATGACCAGAATGCATAAAAACAAAATGGTCAATGACATTTATTCATTTGGAAGTTTACACAGTTTGAACTTTACACAGTTTTCTAGGACAGACCTTGGTGACTGGTTGAATACAGAAGGAAAACAAGGATGCCAGTAGCACAGCCAGCTCAGAGAAATGCAAGTGCTTCTCAAATCTTACAACTGATTCTCATTATTCAAGGTTGTTATGTTCTATAAAGTCACAAACAATTAGCAAATACTGAATCATTGCTCCTAGGGGAAATACAAGATTAGGTTCCTGTGAGCCTCTGGTCACACTTTCAACAACCAATTAATACATGACCCGGTTTTATGTGTGCTTCTGTTTAAAGACATCTTGTTTAATATATCTTGTTGACTCACTAACACTGAATTCACAGCCAACAGCACTGTTACTCATGTCTGAATGAAGCTTATGTAATGCTCATATTTTCTCCATAAGGCACATCACAGCCTTCTTGCATTTAGGAACACTAGACAGCACTTCAGCACTATGTTTGGGGGCCATCTGAACAATGATATCACCAACAAAAGGTAAAAAAAATGCAAAAAACATGGCACTAAATAGACCATGAAAAGAATACTTGTTTACAGTAAGAGGAGCTGAAACAAGAAGGCAGAGTGTCTGACATCAACTGAGAATATGTGTGTGGGATGATTCAAATTTTTTGCCTCTCTGCACATGTCCATAAATGACTATGAAAGTGCTGCAAATATTGATGTAGGGTTCCATATAAATTTTTGCAAGTAGATGAATTTGCAAATACAGAATTTACAGATAATGAGATCAACTGTATTTACCAACTATAAAGAACTCTTTGTATTTCCCTATGATGCTGCTTCTTACTATTACATTGTACTTGCCTGTTCTCTTTTGTATACCTATGGAACTCCTATTCTTCCTTCTAAACCTTGCTCAGAAAACCATATACACACTAACCTCCCCCTCCTGTTACTTTTGCCTCTTATACTCATCTCTATTTTGCACAAATCAGATTATACTGAATTTACTGACGTTTTTCTTTACTGGCCTATGAAATTAGTTGAGGTCAGTGACCATGTCCTAGTACATGTATATAACCTTTACTGTGCTTACTATGTGCCAGGCTATATGTCAGAAGATACTTCACATACAATACCTTGTTTAGTCTTACAAGAATCCTATCACCCCCATTTTACAGTTGCAGAAACAGAGGCCTAGAACAGTCATGTCACTTGTTATATCACAAGCTGCAGAGCTGGTATTCAAACCTAAAGCTCAAGATTTTAACCATTATGTTATCCTAAATAAATATTAGTTACCGTATATTATTGACTGCTTACTATGTGCAAGGCATGGTATTAAATGCTTTATACAAGTTATCTCACTGAATCCACTTTATCCATCTCTGTGTCCCCAACACACAACAAAGTGCATGACACAAAAATGTTTGTTGGGTTGAATTTATTTCTTCCTGCCCCCAAACCTTTCTAAAACCAACAGCATGAGAACTCTCTACATTTCCAGCAGTGGCCAGAATGACTTTGTGTTACACCACCCTTCTCTCCTACCAAGTTCCTCATCTCCTTCTCATCTATATTCTTCTGTGGTTTTGCTATTGATGTCTATGATGTCCACAAGGCAACTTTTCAAAGCAAAGGTAGTACAGAAGGGAGCAGAAGCACTGTCCACTTGAAAAAGGTCTTTCTCTTTAACAGTAATGTCTGGCAGTGATTTATATTATGACCTAAACCCTTATGGAGTAACAAAATCATGAAAGAGCTAAGTGTTTTGCTTGAGGGCTGTGAGGTAAGCCCTGTATGAGGTTAAAGGAGGATTTTCTGCTTCCCAATGTAGATTTTTATTCTAAATTAATATAGCCTCTCACAGTGAGCTCAATATAGGCAGAGAGTTGGTTTTAGGGATGAGAAGTAAAAGGGAGAGAGTTCATGGGAAAGTGAGTAGGCTGTAGAAAGTTTGCAAGACAGAAACAACAGGATTCACATATTATACATTACATGAATGAATGGGATCAAGGAGGACTTAGCCTTAGGGCTAGAGTCAAAATCATTCATCTTCTTTCAAAGGTGAAAGCATAAAGAAGACAAGATTTGAGATTTCATTTCAAATCTTCCTCTTTCCCAGAATATTACAAATAGTCCAAAACCAATTACTGTCAATAGTACAGCCAGGAAAATTGACCCAAAGGATAGAATTCTAAATACCCTAAAAGGCCCCACTGTTCTGCCAATTAAATGTCATGGTTTCACTATCAGTCACTGTAATATTTAATAAACAGGAGAATCTCTAAGTGAATTCCAAACCCAAAGCCTAATGCAGAGGAAGTAAATAAAATGTTTCCTGAATCCAGGAAAGAACCTGAAATTACCACAGAAAGAAGGAGTAGACTCATCTTAAGGAGTAGCCAGTGTTCAGCTCCAGTACATTCATAGTTGTCAGAAAGAATAAAATCCTCTGTTGCCAAGCCTTCCAGATTTTCAAGAGAAGACACAATCCTAGATTTCCACGTGAAATCTCCTGGTTTTAAATGTGGGCAATTAATTTAAAAGAAAAATGTAAACACAGTGCATGTCAAATAAACTATGTCTGTTGGTTTACCCAGTGAGGGATGCCGGTCTGCAGTCTCTGGCCAGAATAGTCCTAGTAGCCTAGGGAATATTTTAAGGACCTCTTTCAAATCATTCATTGTGCCTCACTGCCCCCAAGAAACGGCAGTCCTGGAGGCCATCCTCTGAACAGACATCTCCTCCTCCTGTGCCCTTGGTCTCCTAACAGACCCTGCCTTTTGTAAGTAAGCACTTGTCTCAGAACATGATTTCCAGGCCTCTGCAGACACCCTCCACCTACACTGTGTGGGTGATTTATGACCTCTGGCAGACAGGGTCTGGCTGCAGCAGGTCTCCATGTGTGCTAGGGAGCTGCTCTTGGAGGGCTTTCCTATCTCATCCTCCCTGCCCCTACTCTCACTCTGACCCTGGCCATCTCTCCTTTGAAGATGTTTCCCTTTCCTTTCTCTTTCTTCTCTCCCAGTTCTCTCTCTTGTATGATCTTTTTCTTTCTTTCTCTGCTTTTCTTTTCCTCTTTTCTCATTCTTTTCTGTTTATTTTATCCTCTCCACCCTTGTCCTCTCTCTCTTACTCTCCTTTCCTCTCCTCCCCCATCCCTTCCCTTCTTCTCCCTCTCCCAGCACCTAGAAACTGCAAGAGAGCTGGCTCACCAGGAATACACCAGCACTGGCTTCGAGTATTTCTTGTGATGGGAGCGGAGGGTTAGGGAGCCCTTGCGCTCCATCAAGTCCGTGGGTCCGAGTTCAAACCAGTGTTGCCTACCGCTACACCAACCCTGGCAGGAGCTGTCACAGCTCCCCATGGCTGCCCTCCTGTTACAGATCTCAGAGGATTTCTCTCTGCACCTATCCTGTTGCCTGTGCCGACACAGCCCAAGATTCGGCTTCTCTCATCTCCTAAGCAACCTGGGGCGGGGTCAATGTAAAGGGCGGGGTCAGTAGAAAGACGTATCTCTCAAGCCTAAAAGCCCTGGTTTCCTAGACAGTGAACGCAGATACTGCCTAGAAAGAAACTACACTTCCCAGAATGCAATGAGGGGAGCGAGCGGGCTATATAGAGGTTGAGAGGGACAACTGCATCCTGGGATCTGTAGTTTCGCTCTCCTAACAGTCTACTCCTCAGAGTGGGGGGAGTTAAGGGGGAGCGCTGGGTCACTTAAGGAGGACTAAGTGGACCTGAGCCCGGAGCTGGTCTACTGGGGCTGTCCTTGGGGAAGTTTCTTTTTACCATTCATCATCTGTTGCCACCACACCTTCTGCTTACAAGTTATATAAATTTAACTAAAAGGGAGCAAGAGAACATCCCTCAAACCATAAAATATGTCTTTTCTATATAGCTTTTCTAAATAAGAAAGAGGAGCAGAACTGTTTAGCAAATCAGCTAAAAAGTTTGAGGATGAAAAAGGCTTGGCTGGTTCCAGTTTCAGCTGTTCTCTCAACCTTTCTGAGCACGAATTTCTTCCTCTGAAAAACAAGGGAGGGAATGGGATTGTGGAGGGGGCTGAGAAGGACACAAGAATCAGAGGTCCCTTCAGGCTGTAATAGCTGAAAGACTCAATCTCTAGGTACAGTTTAGGGCTCTGGGGCATTCAGCTCCCCAAGATTTGCCAAATTCTTCTCGCCTTAACATTTAACAGTTAATATGTGGTGACAATACAAACTCATCACATTATTGTTTTGTAAGTTATATGCAAGAAGGAGATTTTAAAAAGATTATCTACAGCATTGCCATCAGGAAATCTTGTGCTTATTCCACTTTTGAGTTTCCAAGAAAAGAATATTTAGCACATCAGAATTCTCCTCCCCAACCTCAGCTGAGCACCTTAAGGGCATTAGTGAACTTAATCATGGCCATCCCTCGGACCTGGCATAGCGCTTAATATATACATACCATATATACATACCATCAGTGAACTAATGAATGAATATTATGTTTGATTACCTTAGATTTATCCGGGCTTCCATAAATTACAGAAGTTTCTTACTTTAAGAAGGCCACATTACACAAAAAATTCAAACGTAAAAACACAAATTAAGAGATATTTCACATTACAAATAGATTTTATAGTTCACAGAAGATTTATTATGGCACTCCTATAGATAGTGAAGTGCTCTTCTGGATCAGATTTCACAAATTTGATTACACACAGCTACTAAGTGCTTTTTTGTGGCCTGTGGTACTCAGTGTGGGCACCTGTGGTACCCAGTGTGGGCACCTGTGGTATGCTTAGGTCCCTATTTTACTGACAGCTACAGTTAAGCCATGTTTTTTAGAACCAAATAAATAGCCCACTGTCACCAGCTTAGTGCTAGTAGAGCGCTGACAGCTATTTTAGCCCTTTTCTTCTTGAAAGAATGAAAAGAAAAATAGAAATTAAAAGGGTAAACAAGATCCAAGTTAAGCTCAATTCTGTCCAAAGCATAGCACATTGCTGTCACTCCAAAATTATTACCATCATACTATCTTTCGGTTTATTTTATTTTATTCAAGCTTAAAGTGTATTTATTTTACTTATGCTTTAAGTGATAGCAACATAATATATGTGCAACCAAGATGTCAGGTCTCTGTAGCCAATCTGACTCAGAGCCAAGCCCTTTCTCTGGTGCTGCTGAGATTTAAAAGCTCTTTAGCACACCAAGTAGCAATATAGTATGAAAACAAACAAAACAAACATAATTTGTTATTTTAGAGTTCCTTAAGCCAAGGTGACAGCCTTTGAAGTCTAAGAAAATGCTTTTTCCCTCTTTATATCAGCTCTTTCCTCTTTCCTCTTTATATCAGCTTTATAAACTTTATTGTCTTCTGTGTCTACTAAATACTTTTCAACATCCTCGAGCTGAGATGTAGGAAATTAACTCTCTGATACCCTCAAGTTCAGACGTATTCTATTCTCTTTGTATACATCAGTACATTCTGTGGAATTTTTCGTTCCTCATTCCGTCCTTACCAGTAATAGAACAGTATTTATTGCAGAGGGGTTTTGTGAGAATTACATAAGATGATAAATATATTGAAAGCAGAAGGAACAGTTCCTAATACATGCTCAGCCCTCAATTAAATTTCAATTACTAATGCTATTACTACATCCCAACTTTGTCCTTATCATTTTGGAAAAGTATTCTAAAATGTGCTTGTTGTTTGTGTAGTTTCCTAACTATACTTCACTGTTCTTCAAGCTTTGTCTGTCTACAAGGTCTATTTAATGAATATCTTTTAATCATATTTTAATATGAAATTTAATAGTCTGAATCAGAAAAGTGTTGGCAAGATATTTTGATGTTACCAGTGATAACAATGGTTTCGTATTCATATGGAATCTTTTCAAGACCATTAATAAGCTTTATTCTTTATAAAATCACTGATCCTCAACATACTTGAGTTATTCCTATTTTCCTCAAGCTTCATCAAACCAATGTAGTGTAGGGCTTAATGCAATGCCTTTTATTATATTAATCTCTTCACCATAACATCCTTGGGGTTAGAAAATCACAGCTCAGGTGGCTGAAACAGGACTTCTCTGTAAGATAATTACAGGCAGACCAACTCGGGAAGTGGGAATCCCTTCATCTGAGCCTACTCTAGTATACTTCTTTATTAGCTTTATCAGGTCCTTAAAGAGGTTGCCAAGAAGACCTGACAAGAACCGCAAACCTAAAACAGATGTAACCCAACCAGATGTAAATGCCTACAGAGGTTAACCTCTTTACCATCTCCTTTCCTTCCTGTCTTAATAGTCTGCTCAGTTCTTGGAAAAGCCCCTGCTCAGGACCTTCCAAAGTCACCATCATTGTATCCTCTCCCAGCATTAAAATTCTTCTACCAAATGTCATGCAATTACCTGACAGAAAAATTTTAATTATGTAAGAAAATTAATTTGTACCATCGCCATGTTGAATCTAGTTTAAGTCTATTGAAAACTTGTATTTAAATTGTATAAAACTTAGAAGCTTAAAACTGAGTGTTTATGTCCTAATCAAGGGTTGCATAGTAATTTTTTAGTTCCCCAGAAATAAGGACCTCCATATATACATCTAGGGGCCCACTTTCAAATATTTTGTATAAAAAAGTTAGAGTTCACCAGTTTGTCAAAATGAATGAGAGGTGTCTGGTCCTCCCCGCTCCCTCTGTCCCCCCTATCTCCTGACCTCTCTCCCACCTCTCCCTTCTTCTTTTCCTTTTCCCCACTTTTCCTCCACTTATCCCTTCCTCTTCCATCTCTACTCATCTTCTTTCCTTCTTTCCTCTCCTCTCTTCTGCCTTCCCTCTCCCTGCTTCCTGTTCCTCTTCTTCCTTCTGTGAGAAGCGGTATGGATATTAGAATCAGAATCTACTGCTGAGCACCCAAAACAATCTGGTACAATTCAGTTACATGAAAAATATGAAAGAAAAATAGTAAAACCTAGAAATCAGGGCCAAAGTTTATATGAATAAGCTCATGTTTAACGACCCAGGAACTCTCAAAGGAATCAACACCAATGAAAGCTTCAATCTTCTTTCCTTTCCTTTAACTATTCATAACTACCACCAGTCTTTTCTAGAAGAATTTAACCTTGAGTATGATACCTCTGTGCTTCTAATTTGTACTGCAAACATATTAGGCACTGACCTGCCCTCAAACCATTATTAACTAGTATTGATTAAGTCCTGTCATGCAAGAGGCATTACTTCTGGAACTGCAACTCTCAGCATGGGAATTTATTAAATATTCAATTCAGCATTTCCGTTATTTTTTTAATGTCTTTATTGAAGTATAATTGCTTTACAATGTTGTGTTAGTTTCTGCTGTATAACAAAGTGAATCAGCTATATGTATACATATATCCCCATATCCCCTCCCTCTTGCGTCTCCCTCCCACCCTCCCTATCCCAACCCTCTAGGTGGTCACAAAGCACTGAGCTGATGACCCTGTGCTATGCAACTGCTTCCCACTAGCTATCTATTTTACATTTGGTAGTGTCTATATGTCAATGCTACTCTCTCACTTCGTCCCAGCTTACCCTTCCCTCTCCCCGTGTCCTCAAGTCCATTCTCTACGTCTGCGTCTTTATTCCTCTCCTGCTCCTAGGTTCATCGGAACCATTTTTTTTTTTTTAGATTCCATATATAGGTATTAGCATACAGTATTTGTTTTTTTCCTTCTGACTTACTTCACTCTGTATGACAGACTCTAGGTCCATCTACCTCCCTACAAATAACTCAATTTTGTTTCTTTTTATGGCTGAGTAATATTCCATTGTATATATGTGCCACATTTCTTTATCCATTCATCTGTCGATGGACACTTAGGTTTCTTCCATGTCTTGGCTACTGTAAATAGTGCCGCAGTGAACATTGTGGTAATGACTTTTTGAATTATGCTTTTCTCAGGGTATATGCCCAGTAGTGGGATTGCTGGCCATATGTTAGTTCTATTGTTAGTTTTCTAAGGAACCTCCATACTGTTCTCCATAGTGGCTGTATCAATTTACATTCCCACCAACAGTGCAAGAGCGTTCCCTTTTCTCAACACCCTCTCCAGCATCTATTCTTTGGGGATTTTTTGATGATGACCATTCTGACTGGTGTGAGGTGATACCTCACTGTAGTTTTGATTTGCATTTCTCTAATGATTAGTGATGTTGAACATCCTTTCATGTGTTTGTTGGCCATTTGTATATCTTTGGAGAAATGTCTATTTAGGTCTTCTGTCCATTTTTGGATTGGGTTCTTTGTTTTTTTGATATTGAGCTGCATGAGCTGCTTGTAAATTTTGGAGATTAATCCTTTGTCAGTTGCTTCATTTGCAAATATTTTCTCCCATTCTGAGGGTTGTCTTTTCGTCTTGTTTACAGTTTCCTCTGCTGTGCAAAAGCTTTTAAGTTTCATTAGGTCTCATTTGTTTATTTTTGTTTTTATTTTCATTACTCTAGGAGGTTGGTCAAAAAAGATCTTGCTGCCATTTATGTCAAAGAGTGTTTTTCCTATGTTTTC